GTCATGTTGTGATGGTGTCCCGGTCATGTTTTGATGGTGTCCCGGTCGTGTTGTGACGGTGTCCCGGTCATGTTTTGATGGTGTCCCGGTCCTGTTGTGATGGTGTCCTGGTGATGTTTTGGCGGTGTGCCGGTTATGTTTTGATGGTGTCCAGGTCATGTGACGGTGTCCCGGTCATATTGTGATGGTGTCCTGGTCATCTTTTGATGGTTTTCCCGTCATGTCATGTTGGTGTCCCGGTCACCTTGTGATTGTGTCCCGGTCATGTTGTGATTGTGTCCCAGTCATGTTGTGACGGTGTCCCAGTCATGTTGTGATGGTGTCTCGCTTATGTTGTGACGGTGTCCCGGTCATGTTTTGATGGTGTCCCGGTCATGTTGTCATGGTGTCCTCGTCATGTTTTGGCGGTGTGCCGGTTATGTTTTGATGGTGTCCGGGTCATGTGACGGTGTCCCGGTCATGTTTTGATAGTGTCCCGGTCATGTTGTGATGGTGTCCCCGTCATGTCATGCTGGTGTCCCGGTCACCTTGTGATGGTGTCCCGGTTATGTTTTGATGGTGATTTTGTGATGGTGTCCTGGTTATGTGATGATGGTGTCCAAGGAAGAGATGGTCGATGTGTTGAAAACAGCAGCTGTTTCCAGATTTTTCTTTTTGTCCCGGTTTGTATCTTGCTATTGGGGTCTTCGGCTGGGCTAATTCTTCTCCTCTTCTCCCTCCCAGTTGCGATCTTTTATCGATCTTTTATTTGCTTTGGTGTCCTCCTCAAGAGCACACAAGTCACTGACTTTTACGTCATGACGAAGATGTGCCGTTTGTTTTGTGAATCATTCGATCATTCCTTTAGTGAAATTGGCCGGAGGCGTTTTGAGTACAGTAGAACGTGCCCTTCTGAGGTTTAGCGTCATTTTGCTGGGGAACATGGAGGAGTTGCATCAATATTTTGGCACTTTTGGCTTGGCGCTCTGGAGTCATTTTGTCATTGTGACGATGGAGACCTGGCCAGACGTAGCTGATGCAGTGCTGGAAGTGGCAAGTCCACTTTGGGGAGTTTACTTCGTGGTGTCCTGGCTGAGTTTACAAGCACAGGGGGTTTTGCTCCAGTGTTTTTCAATGCGTGTAGGAAGGCCTTCAGACATGAATGCCAAAGCACCACATGCTTAACTTGCCATCCGATGGTAAGGTCTTTATTTGTGTGTCGAGCATGTCGCTTATGAATTTGGTCACTGGCGTCATTGCTGAGAAGCATCGTGGTTGAGCAGTGGTTGAGAATTTAGAGATTCAATTACATTGTTAGTCGGTGCCGAACATTGTTGAGTTTGGCTTGTGCTGGGGCTATGGGCTATGTACCACCATAACACTTGCACGCTCCACCTTTACTCCGTCTCACCTCCAAAAGAAGCATGCGCATCGAGCTTGGGTCAAATGGTACTTCTATTAGTGTGAAGACTGTATGCGGAAGAAGGATGCTTGAGTTGAGTTGCACGCAAGCAGAATCACCGTTTCAGGTCGGATCAGGCTCATAGACAATTGACGATGTTATCTACAAATATGGATAGACTATTCGTCGTGGGAGTTCTGATAGAAATACTCAGGCTGCTCACGACCAGGGAGGATCCTTTGCCTGAAGTGCAGATTGATGAGCTGGAGGTGATTGTTGCGTAAGTTTCTATAGTTCATTGCTCAAATGGCAGTGGTTCTAGATATTCGTGGTTTATGTATGCAGGCATTCCGGAAAGAAAAGTCAGCGTTGAAAGCCGACTTGAAGGAGCTCTTTCAAGAGGAAGAGATATGCGTGCGGCACCGAGACTAGAGGAGTGTTCGAGTCAATTTGAGTGGCGTGCACTGCACATGCAAGGCCGACCTCTTCTGTGGTTTGTTGGATTCGCCGAAACTGCGAGTCTGGCTCAACAAGCTGCAGGTGCAGATTCTGCATGTTCACTGATCTTAAACAGTTGAAGCAAGTTCACACATTCGATATGCATGCATACATGCATACATGCATACATGCATACATGCACCCGTAGCCATTTTGGCTCAAGCCATCTGAGATCAAGCTGGTTGCCCCCAAAGTCCAGCAAGTGCAGAAGGCCCCTTTCGCACATAGCCTGGAGAAGAACGACCAGCACGGCCCAAGGATTTTGACCTACAACACATTCTTTGCCCATAATCCTACATCCTGCTCTTCTTCACGCTCTTGAAGAGTTTGCAGGCACCTGGCAGCTCTCGCCTTGCTCCCTCAGGAGGGCTCTTTCCGGATCTACCACTCCAATCACCAAGGACCTTGGGGATTATATACCTATATATACCTCATCTACACAGTCACTTTGCCCGTGATCCCTACTTGTTTGCCATCTCCTTTGGCCTGAGCATGAACGGTGCAGTGACCATGCAGTGGGGACGAAACTACATGGTTTGCAAGCACAAGCAGCGTCAGAATTGGATATGGACAGACAAGTTACAGTTACGCCCTGGCACTTGATGCAGGAAGTGCGGAAGTTGGTGACCTGAACTGACCCAAGCATCAGGAAAGGGCAAGGGTCAAGGACAGGCTCCTCCCCATCTACCTCCCAATCCAGGGCGCAGCAGATCTCAGATGACTACAAGGCGGTGAACAACGCACCTGCGCCTCCTGACCTCCAGGAGACTCAAAGCAGCAGAAAGGTAGTCCTGGCTGGAGTGGGGCCGCCGAGCTGAAGCATGAGGGGAGAAGCCTCCCGGTGCGCAAGTGCGTGAGCTTGTTGAGAATGTAGCGTTCGTGAGCATTGAGGACCGGATCATCGTGAGTTATTTTTTTAGTAGGACACCATTGTGGGTTGTTTCACTTTGCCGGCGTCCTGGTGATGGTGGGAGACGGGGTCTCCTTCGAGCCCCAGGAGTGAGCAATGGTCGGAGTATAGGACAGGGTGATCTCCCTACGCTGACTACATCTCGCCGTGCATGACTGAGGGCGCGCGCCCGCGGTTGGAGTATAGTGTAAGGAGCATGAGAAGGCGAGATGGCGCTCATCCAGTATAAGGACAAGAAGGGGAAGTGGCGCTCCTCAAGAGCGCGAAGCTGTCACGGGCCTTCCCACCGACTATACTAGGCAATGTGTGGTGAGGGTGAGGAGTGAACAGAAAGCAGCAACCAACAACTTCAGAATTTTTTTTTGACGAGGAGTACCACGCTTGCAACGCGGCAGGGAATGTCATAAGTGACGTGGTGAAGGAAGGCGGCGCCTACTCCTACTTTGCCAAAAATCAGCCGTCAGCGACAGCGCAGATATACCCATCTGTTTCACACATGTTTGTAGTATGCGCAGGGAGGTGTTCTCGTCAAGAACCCCCTTTGCAGCGGCGAGCCACATCCTTGCACGCAGCTGCAGTGCTTCCCAATCTATGTCTCCAATCTAAGTGAATCAAGACATGAGGGGCGCGAGTAGGACAGCGACAGTAGTGCAAAGCGCTACCGGTAGTTTGGCTGAAGTGACAAGACAAGAAGTTTGCGTATGGTCGAGCGCTCTGTTTGCCAACTCACACAACATATGTGTATATATATATATACACACACACATATTCATTTAGGTGTTCCGGCGTCACCTCCGGTGCATGAAGGGAGGCTGGGCGGCCCATTCTCTTGGAGCTAAAGGAGCAGTCCGCAACCTGCGCGCGCGCACACGGCAAATACACATGAATAATGAACGTGTGGGGATATGGGCAGGGGGAGGTCCAACATCTTTGTACACTAGCATGTTAAACTAGACGACTCTTGGCCCCGGAGCGTGGAAACACGAGCGTGCCAGTTTTTAGGCGCGCTGTAAATCGTAGGAAGGTATATGAAGAACCCCACTGAAAGACTTCGTCGGATGTATAGTGAATGACATAGGTGTACCCGGCGCTCAGAGGAAATCAGTGGTTTTAATTTGGCCACGCGGTGTGCCAGTGTAGACGCGCAAAGAACACCCAGCCTTCCCCAATGGCGCAGGCTCCCGCGAACGCACTTTCCACCTAGGCCGCGCAAAACCCCATGGCGCGGCGACGCAGACGTAATCTGGCGACATGGTGTGCGACGGACTACAACATACATCAATGTAACATCAAGCGTCGTGGCGCCGCCAATCATCCCGCTCCCCTGCGAAACGCCGAATTTACACAAGCGTGTAACGTGCATTCATCCCCCAGTGGCACGGACACGCAAACGCACTGTCCACTGAGGCCGCGCAAAACCGCATTACAGACTTAATTTGGCCACACGGTGCACGACGGACAACAACGTAACACTAAACATCGTAGGCGCTGCCAAATCATTCCCCTCCCCAGCGACGCGCCCAGTGAAAACAAGCGTGTTTTCCTTCCCCACTAGCGCAGACGCGCGCGCGCGCGCTTTCCAGGTTGCCGGCGTAATTTGGCCACACGGTTGGCGACAGATTAGAGACTAGCGCGACAATGTGTAACGTTAAGCGTCATAGGCGCCGCCAATCACCCTGCTCCCCAGCAACATGCCGAATTTACGCAAGCGTGTTAGGCATGGACTCACGGAAACGCGCTTTCCACCGAGGCTGCGCAAAACTGCATGGCGCAGGGGCATTGCGGACTAGTTCCCAGAAGCACTTCCCGCTCTACACGACAGTTACACACTTTTGCACCCTCCACCTCCACCTCCGTTTTTGGCGATGGTTACACGCTTTGGCAACCTCCATCTTCGTTTTTGGCGACAGTTACACGCCCGGAACAGTTGCACATGTCGGCCACGCAGTTCGTATTTTGCCTTCATCTCCGCTGAGGGTTCACCACCCCGCTCACCGAAAATTTGCAGGTCGCGGCGCGTTTGAACACTCAACGCTCCACGGGCACGGTCTCCGCAGAGGGTTGCCTTTGGCCAAGCCAGAGTTCTCATTTGGCCTCGCATTTGAGCCCTCGACGCACACGATCTCCGCAAAGGGTCACGTTTCGCAAACCCTGCCCGGCCAGGCCCGAGATGTGTCACGCACGCGTGAACAAACATATGCTTTACTCTATGTCAACATATGTTTACTTTGGCATATGTGTTTGCTGAAACAAGACCCCAGCGAAAGTTATGCTTGCCTTTGCATATTACTCTCTTTACTTAGGCAAGGCGAAAGTTATCCAAGCAAGAACCCACCAGCAAAGCAGTTCACCATCACGGCCCCCAAGACAGGGTCCCAGCGCCAAAGCAATGCTAGCGTAACAGTAGTTCTACACAATCACACCTGCAAGCAGCAGATGTACTTGTACCATACCTATTGTAGCATACATACAACTGCAGATATGTAAGCTGCAAATGTATATCCACCTCCACACCAACCGTTCCAGCACCACACCTCCAAGCTACAGATGTACATATTGTAGCGTACCAACAAAGACAATTATATGATTCGCGCAAATTTTCATGCAAATGTGTTACTTCAACAAATTCTAGAGAAGAACCATTCGCAACGCTGCTGGGAAAAAATGTATATGATAGGATTTAGTGGCGTTCCAATGAACCCATGATCAGGAAAGCGCATGACTGGTTGCACGCGTGTCACACCGCTTGACCCCAGGCTCGAACCGAGAGCGCCAAAAGGGGCGCACTTGTTTTTATGGTAGCGGAGGCTGAAGTCTCTGGCAAGGTAGTAGAAGGGCCTCGATCATGGCTGGCGTCACTGACGCTGCGCAGGCCGTTCCGTCCACAGGTGACAACACGCCTACTGGAGCTGGAAATGGAGTGCCAGGACTGGTACAAGCATTGCGTCGGTTGATCGATGTTCAACGCAGCAGTGGGTTTACAAAGCACCTCAAGCCACCAACCACCTTCCAACCAGAGTCAAGAGCTGAAGAACTTTCTAAGTGGTTAGATTGGCGATTTCAGTTTGAGACGTTTGTTGGTGCAGTTGAGCCAGGCATGTTGACCCTCATGAAACAGGCCGAACGTGAAGAGGCTGCCATCAACAATTCAGGAGCCAATGTCAGGTCCCAATCTGAACGTTTGTACTCCCTGTTGACCGGATTGATGAAGCAGCGACCGTTGAGGCTGGTACGAGGGATTTCAGGCCAGAATGGGCTAGAGGCCTGGCGGGTGTTGACAAAAGACCTCCAACCAAAGACACGTCAACGTTCACTTGCATTGGTACAGGCATTGAGCAGGGTACAATTCGATCAGAGCAAGTCAGTTACAGAGCAGTTACCACAGTTCGAATTGATGGTCCGTGAATATGAACGAAGTGCCTCTGCAACATATCTAGATGATTTGAAGATTGCAGCAGTTGTCACAGCTCTTCCACCCAGTCTTCGTGTTCACATCCAGATGTCGCTGCAAGATGACACGACCTTGGAGGAACTCCGTCAAAAGATCGAGCTTTACGAGGAGGTCAGTCAGAGGTGGAGTGTAGAGCAGGGTGGACTACAGTTGATTGTCAAGCCATGGGGAGCTGATGAGCAGGACAAGACTGCAGGACCTTTGGACGTTGATGCAATCACCTATAAAGGAGGTACGAAAGGAGGAAAGAAAGGTGGCGGAAAGAAGGGTGAAAAAGGAAAGAACAGCAAAGGCAAAGGTTTCTGGTCAAAAGATGGTGGCAAGAAAGGCGGCAAGGGAGGCAAATCGAGTGGCAAGTCGACAGGAAAGAAAGGAAAAGGTCCTATAATGGTGCATGCCACAATTTTGGTAAGCAAGGTCACTATGCACGTGATTGCTGGGCACCAAACAGAGTTCAAGAGGTGGTTGAGAAGGCGGAGAATGCAGAGAAGACCACCTCGACTACGTACAGGACAGATGGAGGCCAAGGCGGAGGAGTGTCAACTGTTCCCTCAGCCCACACCGGGCCCCGTCCCGGTGTCAGGCGGGTACGGCTGGTCACACCCACGGGATTGGCCACAATGGAGATCTTCCACCTGACCGAGAACGATTCAGGCTATGAGGACATGGAGGTGGAAGAGA